TTCATTTCTATATACTTCCTTTTTGCCCGCAAATCTGTTCACTGTCTTGTACATAGAAGGTATATGATAGATACTTGCCAGTCGCCTGCTTTGGTTATAAAGATGCAGCAGTAAACAAGACCGAGTAGCTGCTCTCTTTGGGCCTACTTTATGGTTGAATGAAGGGACAATCTGCCTGAAAGCTTAAAACAGCTGATAGCGTGGCAGAGCAGTGACAGTAGTGAGTGAGTGAGAATGAGAAATGGACGAATTAGCGTTCCTAGTAGGGCCGGGGCCATCTTTCCAATCCAGAAGTTCTCAGAGATGAAAAAGACCCCCACTTTTTAGACTAGCATGCATCTAAGGTTCTGTCCCAATTCCTCAGGCCCACAGCGCTGGGAAGAGGGACGATGACAGTGAACGGGTCTGTGCAGTCTTTCATAACTGTAGGACAGGAGGGGAGGATGGGTGACTCACTCTCAGAAATGTAATCACCTGCGATAAAGCCAATGAGGCTTCCATTTACAACCTCATCAGCTTGTCAAAGCCTGTAATCCCTGTAAATTCTGCAGGCATATTATTTATATCGTGCGGGCTATTGGCCCATGTGATTGACAGCAAAACTCTAAAAAATGTTGGTGCATTTGTTTGGAGAGTGTGAGAAAGGTGGTAGCCAGGAAGAAACCTCTCACTCTGAGAATCAGTCTGGAGGGAGAAAAATCCCAAGGAGGAGAGTGGATGGTAGTGGTGGCTAAGAGGAGAAGGCAGGTGGCATTCCTGGGGCCTGCTGAGACTGTGAAAATGAAAGTCCAGAGAAGCTGTATCGATGAGGAAGGGCCTCTGGCAGAGGCAGCAGGAGAGCTTCCCTCCAGAGGCGCAGGGCTGATGATCCTTCTACCTGAGAAGCTGCATGGAAGAAGCTTGGAAGACTCAGAGAATCCTGCAAACAACTAGTCCATCGTTATCAGTCTCAAACTGAGATACTGTGACGAAACAGTGTTAGATCATCTATGGAAAGAAAACTCCGAATACAATGCCAAAGATAGATATACATGGAGGCATGAGCTTATCACCTGATTTATGCAGAGAAATATTTTTTCAAAAATGGACTCAACTCTTTCTCTCTCTTTTTTTTTTTTTAAAGATTGGCACCTGCTCTAACATCTGTTGCCAATCTTTTTCTCCTTTTCTTCTTCTCACCAAAGCCCCCCCAGTACATAGTTGTATATTCTAGTTGTGAGTGCCTCTGGTTGTGCTATGTGGGATGCCACCTCAGCATGGCCTGATGAGTGGTGCCATGTCCGCGCCCAGAATCCGAACCAGTGAAACCCTGGGCCACTGCAGTGGAGCATGTGAACTTAACCACGAGGCCACGAGGCCGGTCCCTTTCTCTGTCTTAAAAGAATACAAGCCCCTAGGTACTTGTCCCTCTGAGAATAGTGAGGTCTTGATTACAAATAAGCAGAAGAGAAATTCCCCTGGTGATCCGGAACCTTCTGCGAGTTCACTAATGATCAGAAGGGAGTAAACAGTATCCTAACTAATGGCGACACAAAATGAAAGAGGTGTCATAGACACCCAGAAGGGTAGAGAAATGTTGCAAAGGATTTACTTGGATAAAGAAATTTTTGCACTAGCTAAAAAAATGAGATTCAGCTGGGGGAAAGTGCCAGCTAATACCTCTGGGGTATTGTCCAGAGACAATAACGAGCTAGAGAAGCCTGAAAAGCAGCGTTGCTGGAAGAGGCCAGAAGGGGCAGAGAATAAAGCAGGTGGGTGTTGGCAGTGTGATCCTGAAGGTCAGTATGTTAAGTGCCAAAGCCAAAAATAATGGCCGATGACAGAGATTCTTAGTTATCTAACCATCATAATAGCTAAGATCATGTTTTAAAAATTATGTTCTTGAATAATACTGGTGTTCCATAACTAGGTCGCAGTGTCCCATGGCTCAAATAGATGATTGTGTTCTTTTCCAATTTTTAGGGAAAAAATGTATCAGACAAAGGTTTATACTTTTCAGGTTTTCTTCCATAAATATTCCCTAAATTTGATGCTTACTATATTTCTATGTAAGAATCTAACGTTAGATCGTTTGTGATTCAATCCAAAATCATATATGAATTTATTTTAAGTGGGTATCTCCAAATGTTCCAAGAAGCACTCCGAAATTTTCAAACATCCCACCTTCTGAAGAAGTTTCAGAATCACTAACCCCAGTGAGGGCCAAGTCCAGAGCAGTATGAAGACAAACCCAAGAGCTTCTCTGTTTGGGGACATTGTAATTTTACTGTGTTTTGTATAAACCAATGTTGTGTTCCACAAGAGAAGTAGAAAACATTGTGGCCTAATGAACATTACATAAAAGACCTGTCCCGTTTCCACAGCTTTAAGTGAGAATGTGAAGGCTCAGCAGACAGGAAGGAATCTTTGAAAGCCACATAGTACTCACTGTCTTCAAATCACACCATTCAATACCAACTATTCAACATTAAGCATCATTTAAATAGTGTGTTAATATGAATTGTGTCCAAGAGGTTATGCAGTATGCCGTTGAGATTTTATGGCTGCAAACGCAAAGAGGGAGTCAAATGATCTAGTTTGACTTTCTGCATCCTTTAAATAAATAAGACATTTCCAGGTCTCCACTTCATCTTGTGAGGTGAAGGATCATCCAGGAAGAGAGTACCAATGTTATCATTTCTACGTGGTTTAGAACCCATCTCACTCAGAGACGGAGAGACTAGCTGACTTTTTGATGCCTCTCTACACGCCAGTAGCGAGAGGCACAGATAATCGGAGAGTTAGTTCCATTGACGGCGTCCTGGGGCTGCATAACTTCCTCCCAGTTGAGAAGCCTGACTCCTTGCCCCGCCCTGACCATCACCCCTCGTCTGTGCCCTCAGCTTTAGCAGACTCCTGGAGAAATCCCTTTGAAGCCTACAACGGGAAACTGCAGATAGTCTCTGAGTTCTAGCCCTTCTGAAGTAAGCCGTCAAATCCAGGTCCCGATGTGTAAGCTCTTAAAGTGACCACTGCAAATTACCGCCTTTTCTAATTTTCCTCTCTGGGGTTGTGGATTCTCAGTCTTGATCATAACATATTTTTTTCTGTAAATGGGAAAAACATCATTTCCTTGGCAAAAAAAAAAAAAAAGTGGAGTTGTAACATTGATTGGTATCAAGTTTCCAGAAAGTATTTTTCTAACATGTCATTAATGTCCTCAAAAGCCAGAAGTTATGAGTGACTAGGAGGAATCTGAAGGAAATCTGTGACACAGCTTCACTTTGGGGAAGTGAATATATTAAGCTCTTCCACAATTTGCTGTAAATACGCAGAGCTCCACAGACCTTTCTGCAGCTAATCCCTGATCCTTGAAGGAAGTGGCTTTGGGGAATAATAAAAACCAGAAATATTTTAAAATATTACCTCTGCTTTCTGCGTATCATTCTTCAGTACACCATACGGTATCTGACCTCCCCACAAAAGCTGTGGAGTCAGTTTGCTCGCCTGTCAAGAAATGATGCTGGCATATTTCTTGCTAGAAAGGAAATATTTGTGATGCTTTTCTGATGTAATGATACCTCAGTCTTCCTCAGTATAAAGAAGCCAGCTCAGATTGTTGTCAGTAAGATTTCATAGAAATTCAAAACTAAATTTAGTGTGAAAAATTTTGTGTGCTTTTCCCTTCAGAAAAAAAAATTATATTAGTATTACTTTGAGCCCATTTTAATCATTTAACATATCTTTTGTGGTTCTGATAAGATCAGAAAAGTTTCTTTGGGTGAAAATATGCTATCAGGGGCCAGCCCCAGGTTGGTGTGGTTAAGTTCTTGCACTCTGCTTCTGCAGCATGGGGTTCCCTGGTTCAGATGCTGGGTGTGGACCTACACACCGCCCATCAAGCCATGCTGTGGCGGCGTCCCACAGAGAGGAACTAGGACTTGCAACTAGGAGATACAACTACGTACTGGGGCTTTGGGGAGGAGCACAAAAAAAGAGGAAGATTGGCAACAGATGTTAGCTCAGGGCCAACTGTCCTTCCCAAAAGGTATTAAAAAGAAAGGGCTATTGTGCTGATTGATTGGTTTTCCGTAAGACATATATATATAAATGCTCTCTGATGGCAGTTTAGGGGAGGAGGTTTTCTCTTTTGCTATGACTCTATTTATACCCTCAAAGAATATAAATGTATTACAGACGTTACTACAGGGTCATCAAAAAGGTGTGTGTAATAAAAAAATAATTGGGTGGTAACCCCTTCAAATATGAAATTTTATCCCTCATTGGGGCCCTTTAGCCCCTAAGAACCCTGAGCCTTAAACATTAATATCCTATAGTTATCGTTCAGTAATTCAGCAGAGCGGATTCCAAAACACTGTAAGGTTGTGAGAGGCCTGCCACCCGAATTCCTAAACAGTGGAGCCAATCGTAGGGCTCACGTGGCGGTCCTAGCAGCATGGGGGGAAACTGAGGAAAACTAAGCCTACTTCAAACACAGTTACTCAGGGAGTGTCAAAGGTCAGCAGACGAGCGGGTGAGAGAGGGACCAGGAAGCCACTGCTGCTGGCAGGGCCTCTTGTGGAACTACCAGCAACTTGAGGTACCTTCCTCGTCTTTTGGATCTGACCCAAACTTCACAGGCAGCTGTTACCCTCCGCTGCATCGCCAGCTCCCAGCGCAGTGCTGGACACAGGAGCAGTCTATAAATACTCACCACCATCATCACAACCACCACTAACACCTGACTAAGGCTCTACAGGTCTCCACGCTTGTACCCCAAGCAATACCTACAGCGGCGGCTCCAAAATTTCTATAGAGAATAGGTTTAGGGAGGGTGATATGGTGGGATGGGGAACATTTACATAGCAAGTACTAAGTGTTTAGTTCCATATATTAATTTCAGGGTACTTTCTGGGGGGGTGGAGACAACGGGGGACCAGAGAGTCTCTTCCCCATAATATTCCTCCAAGTTGCCACTGACCATCTCATTCCTTCCTCATAATTAACTTGAAAGAGACGAGTTATATAAATCACTCTTTATAGACAATACAATGACATTCAGACACTTAAGTGACTTGCTCAACATCATATGGCTAGAAGGGGCCAAGTTACTTGAGTATAAATGGTCTGAATCCAAAGGGTAATCCAGTAGAGTAAATCTGATCTTTTAGAAAGCTGGATTCAGGCCTCAAATCTACCAAAACTGTTTCCTAGACAGATGCACAAACCAGCAAAAGCCATCAAGTTTTAACTTTCCTCTTCTATTTGAGCTGAAAACCATGCTTCTGCCCTACATAAGAAACATATTTGGCCACAGATGTTACCTCTGGGTTCTTTATTTGAAACAAAAAGTTGAAAGCAAAATTCTCTGTCTCTGTCACACATGCAGGCACACAAAGATGGGATCAGATCAATCCTGTTCCCTCATCTCTAAAATGAGAGGACTGGACTGGAACAGTGGTTCTCCAAGTTGAAGGTGCACCCAGATCAGGCATCTTGCTGAAACGCACATTCTGACTCAGCAGGTCTGGGATGGAGCCCAAGATGCTGCGTTTCTAAGACGCTCCCAGGTGATGCTGATGTTACTGGTTCAGAGACCATATGTTGAGGAACAAGGGGCTACTTGACCTGAAGGCCCCTTCCCATTCTAAGCATCTTCCCACCTCTGTCAGTGGCATTCTTGGCCCTTCTTCCTTGGGCCCCTTACATCTAACAGAGAGGTGATGTCCACATCCTTACTGCTCACATGCCCAATTCCATGCCTTCACTCCACTCATCCAAATATATTCCAGGTCAAGGGCAAGATCCATATCCATGACGTATTCCTTAACTAGTTTTTTCTCATCAGTGATCATTTTCTTCTAAAGTCCCATAGCACTTAGAGATTGACTCTCTTCCCTTGCATTGGCAACTAATTATTTTTTGATGAATCTAACAAAACTATAGGCTAATAAGGCCACATGCCTTAATTCTTTTCTTTCCCCAGGAACATTTTCAAATGGTCAGCTCCTTTTCAGCCTTCAGCTCGCAGTGTACATGTCATTCCTTGGTAAGGCCTTTCCTGAATGCCCAACTGTTCTCTCCTGCTGCCCCTCTGCCCAGTCACTGCAACTTCTTTTAATTTCTTTGTAACACTCATTAAGTTTTGAAATTTTCTCACTTGTTTGTTTCCCTGTTTATTATCTGCCTCCTTCACCCCCCACCCCAGAGAGAGGGACTTTGTTTCCACTGTTCGCCACTCTATCCCCCCAGTGTCTCACTGTAACTTAGTAGGAGCCAAACAAATTTTTTTTGAGTGCATAAATGCAAGAATCAAAGAGCTGGGTACACAAGAGGTGCTTATGAAAAGACTTCTTGAATGAATCAGAGATCAGTCACCAAACGCTAATCTTGGAATCTTATGTTTCTTTACTTTGGAAAACTAGTTCCTTGTCTCCGTTTTTTCTTCCCTGCCAGGTGCTCACAGGAGCTCGCATCACAATTAATTTTCAAAGGAGATCAGACATATGAGTTCCTACCAGTTCTCAGTAGGACAAGTCACCTATCCGTAGTGCCTGTGGATTGTAAGAAACAGCAGAAATGACGTTAGCGTGGACATCTAGGAGGTGTGTTGGGAACAGAGGCAAACTGAGCTGTGGGTCTCTTCTTGGCTGTTCCATTGATGAAGCCCTCCCTGCAAAGTCCTTTCCAGACTCAGCCTGATCTGCTTTCAGGCCTAATTTCTCATCTCAGACCTCAATTATTTCATAAGGCTCACAATCCAGCTTCGATGGTGTACACGGAAAATGGTAGAAAATGCAGGCTACAGGGGAAAATTCAATGTACAAAAATGAACCTACTTATTAGAGAAAACAACCCCTGGGAGGTGTGTGATCGAGAGCCTGGTGATTTGGAACATCAGGACAGAACGGGGCTGGGGAAGCAAAGGCCGCCTCTGCCGCACACCGGGATCCAGAATGGAGGGAGAAGCCCCTGTCTGACGTGGTCTAAGAGAGGCCCTTCAGGCCTTTCATCTTTTCTTTCCTCTGTAGAGGAAGCAGTTGGGCCCGAACTCTTCCCACCTTTCAGAAACACAGGAATCGGGCTGGATCGTGAACTTGGCACTAGCATGAGTTTACCCTTAGTTTCCAAACTGAAGTTCCTGAAAGTGGTGCTCAGTTCTCTCTCAGGGTTCATGTGCGGGACTCTGGGGAGTGCACGCGGAGGCAAGCACCTGTCCCTCCGGCACCACAGCGTTCGGGGGGAAGGGCCACCAACACAAACCGTGGAGCCACTAAGTGTGAGAAACCCCAAGCCATGCGAGGCCCAGCTGTGGAAATGCCATTCTTAGGCTTTTCTAAGTTCTATTGCTCTGTTCAGGCTCCGCTCAGCGTTTTCTTTTCCTACCTATTCTGTTCCAAAAGAAATCCAATGAGGCTTCGATCCACTATTGCATTTCCTATTTTCTGTTCTGTCAGGCTCTTTTATCCTTTACGTGTGCCACGAAGAAATTGTGAGGCTACCAAGGTTTGCTGCAGTCGGGAGGCAGATAAACCACAGGATGTCCAGTTAATCTGAAGGTCAGATAGACAACAAATAGTTTTTAGGGTACGTACCACATAGTATTTTTGTTTGCTAAATCTAGTGCTTAGTTTATTGCTTTCTTTTGTCATGCTTTTGTTTGTTGTGGTGTTTTTTATTGGCAGAGGGATGAAGAAGGAAGGAACCGGGAAAGAGGAGTGAGATCTTTGTGTCCTGTGTTCGACCTTGGGATAATGGTTTCTTTATTCTTTTGTAGAGATGCTATAAAAAGGCTTGAGGGGCCGGCCCCCATGGCACAGTGGTTAAGTCCGGCACACTCCACTTTGGCAGCCCAGGTTTGCAGGTCTGGATCCCAGGCACAGACCTACATCACTCGTCAAGCCATGTTGTGGTGGTGACCCCCATACAAAAATAGAAGAAGACTGGCACAGGTGTTGTCTCAGGGCTAACCTTCCTCAAGCAAAAAAAAAAGGAAGATTGGCAGCAGACGTTAACTCAGAGCAAATCTTCCTCAGCAAAATAAATAAATAAAATCAATGAATGAATTAATTAAAATGGCTTGAGAGTCCTTTCTGTGAAACCCTCAGACTTCCAGTGTGAAGAACGGCCTCTTGTTTTTACAAACTTCTAATTTGACCGTAGAGTGACATGAGTTTGAAATCTAGGTTCTGGAGCAAACTGAACCGAAAGGGCCCTGGCTATTGGAAAATGAGCAAAGCAGCAATGGAGAAAGTGCTTTCCCCCTCCCAGAGACAGGCTAGCGATACCGAGCAGCAGTGAGGCTATGCATGTGGAGAGGCATAGTTCAACCCCAACTGAGCCTGTAATCCTGTTTCAGAAAGATTAAGTGCAGATACGGTCCCATGCAAATCCTGGTGAACATGAACAGACCTGGAGACTGGGGGTAACAAGCTGGGAGAAGACATTAGGACTAGTAATGATGAAAGCTAAATTTGGTGACCGCTTACTATGTGCTCAACATCAGTTTACACGAACTAAACTCGTTTAATCAGGACAACAGTGCTATGAGGGAGGTATTAGTCTCATTGTCCCCATTACAGATGGGAACACTGAGGCAGGCAAGATTCAGTCATTTACTTACTTAATTAAATTAAGTAGTTAGTGGAGGATAGACACCGGTCCCAGAATCCACTACACTAACCTACTCCTGTTTCCGCAGCCTGAACACTCTGTGAGAACTCAGCCTATGGAGAAGGTGCAGCTGCTGAGCTGTTGACACAGCACCCCCTTTCCCACTGCGCACTCGGGGAGACTGGCGGGGTGGGGGTGGGGGTGGGGGGAGCATGATAGCCCACGGCAGGCCGCTGTCTCCCCCGGAGCAGCCCTGGGAGCTCTGAAGGGCAGGGCGAGCCAGGCCAGGTGATGAAACATCAGGGGAAGCAAATGGGTTGTGAATAAATTATGAAACAGAATAAATTACATAAGGATTGTTTTTAAGAGTGAGCAAATGAAAGGTTTCAGGTCAGAGTTTAATCCAACTGACCTGAGCTAATCTGTCTCCTCTTCTTTTCCCCCAGGCCTTCATTCCTCTTCTGCTAGGAAAGGCTCCGAACGCTGTGCTGAGCCCCGCGGTCTCCAGATGCCAGTGAATGATGATGATGAGGTAGCCTTGGCCCTTCAGTCCTTAGCAGGTGAAAGGGGTGCCCTACAATCCCCGAAATCACCCAAACCGAAACGGCCAGTGAAATGAGAAGGAAAATAACTCCAGAAGGGCTGAGAGCATTACTGTTCCTTTAAAAATAACTCTGGGAACCCCTGGGAATGTGTTGATACTATATTATTGCAGAGGGATAAAGGACTCGACTGGAAACAGCTGGGATCTGTCTGATTTCCTCTGATACTGTGAGCTGAAAACAAAGAAAATGACCGAAAGTGATAACACTCAGGTTAAGTAGAACAGTTCAAAGTTCCCAAGAGCTCCGTTTGGAAGGAAGCCTTTGAATTACAAATCAAATCTTACTGCAGTCATCAACATAAGAAAAAAACTAGTTATGTCCCAAGGCCTGTTTGTGTAGAAAAGGATTCTTTTCTTCTCCAAATCCCTCAGATGAGTTTTAAATGTGCAAATGAGGGCTACAATTTGTGCAGAAATTTGAAACTATTAACGGCTTAATCCACCTAAAATCCTAATGAAGTTCTGTAATATTATTCCCATTAATACAGCTCAGCAAATAGGCCCACAAAGGATACGAGTTGCCACCCATGGCCCCTGGCAGCCAGTTGTGTAATGAAATGAGATCTCAGAGCCAACCTTTGTACAAAACACCGATTATTATTGACAGTCAAGAAATCTGGACGCTCGGAGCTGAAAAACCTTTCAAAATGACAACTAGACCTGGTTATTTCACCTTTGCAGTGATTTCTCTAAAAGGAAACAATCCAATGGGGGATTTAAAACTCTCCCTTTCTTATGGTTTGTTTTCTAAAGTTCTGCATCTGAGCAGGAATAGAGAGGTGCCAGGAGGTGGATTCTGAACGCCCTGGTCATAATCCAGATTTATTATTTGCTTGGAAAGGGTGACAGAGGCCACCTTTCAAACAGGCAGGTGCAGGGTTTCCTTTTAGGAAACATTTCTCCTCCATCCCCTCCTGCCTGCCCACCATCTCCATCCCCACCTCATTTATCATTGCTCACATTTCTCTCTTTGAACCAGTAAATGTTTGTGTCTTTATTGTTCTTTCTGAAAAGTGTATGCTCTAGCTTTAAACACAAGTGAATGCTGTGTGCCTTGAGGAACAGTCTGGTAACTGGAACCGTGCGCAGCAAAGGCCTCCTGTGCGGGATCTTGGACCCTTAACAGCAAAACAGAGTATACAACAGCTCCCCCACCCCCCGACAAAATATTTCTGTCTGGAGCCCAAAGTTCTGACAGCACACGCTTCATCTGCTCTTCTGCTGCTTTCCTCCTGAATCCTGGCTGCCTCATTTTAATAGATAATTGAAATCTTTCTTACTTTCTCAGTGCTCCCTGGGGAAATTCCACTTTGAGATTCTCTTTTCCCTGTCATTTTTACTTTACAGTTGAGAGCCCAGGGACGAGCTAGGGAACACATCTCTCTCTCTCCCTCTCGCTTTTTAAAAATGACGTAGGGAGTTGGACATCCTCCCTACCCCCACCTCCCCTCGTTGATTCTAGCCCCGATTCCAGGCGAATGATACTTTTCCTTTTAATGCTTGCTGATTACCGCACAGCGTAGGAGCACGAGGGGCTGCCCAAGGAGAAGCCCGGCGCCGATTCCCATCTCCGCTGAGTCCCAGCCGCGCGTCCGGGAGGCGCCGCGGTCCCGCGCAGGCCGAAGCGCGGGGACCTGGGAGCGCGGCCCCCGGGTCCGCGGGGCGCCCTCGGCGGGGGCGACCGCGCTCGGCGGGGCCCGGGGTCGCCGGGGGCCAGCTCACGGTGCTCGCTGTGCGTCCACCCTGCACACTCCCAAGCGGGAGGGGGAACAGCAAGGGCGGCGCGTAGTCCAAGAGTAGAAGCAACAAAAGAGGAGAGAGGAGAAGGAGGGGAGGGGGACGGGCCCTCGCCCTCGCGCCGAGAGCGCCCCCACGAGGCGGACGCGGAGCCCCTCCGGGGGCGGCCCTGCCTCCGGGCCCCCTCCGGCCCGCCGCTCAGACAGGTAGTTGGAGAGAAAGAACAAAGCGCCCTGCGAGGGCGGGCGGCGGTCCCGGGGCGCCCCCTCCGCCGCCCTCGCGCCTCCGCGGCCTCGGGGCAGCGGCTCTTCCGAAGGGACGCGCGGCCAGCGGCGGAGGCAGCGGGGGGAGCGGCGGGCGGGGCGGGGCGGGGGCGCCCCGGCGGCGGCGGCGGCGGCGGCTGGGTACCGACTGCCATCCTGCGGCAATTTCCCTGTGTCATGGCTCCGGTCTCTTAGCAACGGCCGCGAGTCCGGCCGCCCCGAGCGCGCGAGCCGCCGCCGCCGCGGGCTCCACTCCACCCGGCGGAGCCCGGCGCGCCGCAGCCACACAAAGGCGGCGCTGCGGCCGGCGGGGCGCGCCGCGGGGGCTCGCCGCGGGCGCCGGAGGAGCGGCGGCGGGGAGGAGGCTCCGAAGGGGATGCAGGATGCGGAGGACCTGACACTTCTTGGAAACTCTCGGAAATGGCTCCCGCCACAGCACCAGAGGGGGCTGCGAACCCGGGGCGGGCGCTCGCCCCCGCGGGGCTGCTGAGCCGCGCTCGGACGGAGGGCCGCGAGGCGCTGTCCCTGCGCTCCGCCGTCGGCTCGGGCTGAAAAAGTTTCTCCATGGTTCCTTTGTGTCGCCCGAGCGCCCGTTCGCCGGCCCCGAGCTGCCCCAGTCTTCCTGGGTAAGTGAACGATATTGTTTGCTCACAGTGCTGCCATTTTGAGCAATTCTGTCAGTCCTCAGGCCCCGAGCTGCCCCTCCCCGCCCCTCCTGCCCTGAGCCCCGGTCCCCAGGGCTCGTGTTCGGGAGAGTCATTTTCCTGGGCGGGCTACACGGGATGCGCTGCCCGGAAAAAGCGAGTTCAGGATTGCCCTCACTTCGCTCCTGCCTGTCTTCTTTCCAGAGGCGGGCTCCCAGCTGCTGCACTCATGTGACTCCAAAATAAATAATCAGACCAAAAAGAAGGGCGAGGGGTTCGCTGCCCTGCCAATGAGGGAGCGGTGGGTCGAGGACCTGGGTTGAGTCCCAGGCAGGCAGGGCGCTCCCCGCCTGTGGGCTGCGAGCCTCAGTCACCGAATGGGGCTTAATCGATCATGAGCCGAGAACTTGAATGTTTCTCTTGGAAGCAGTTGTATTTTTAGACATCCCTCGTTTGCTTCCCCCATCCTCCATTCCTTAGCCACGGAAAGACCAGCTCCAGGCAGTAAATTGCGAGGGCAGCCAACCTGGACTGCTAAGTTTGTTTTCCTTCATTCTGTATAAAGAAAAGCCTCAAAGGTGGGTCTTCCATGACATCTGACTTTTGTCAGTATTTCACTTCAGATGGTAATACGTTAGAAAGGAGTTCAGCCTTCAACAGAGCTGAAGGAATAATAAACGAGGGAGTTAATTGCTAGCTGTTAAACTAATTTTAAAGATCTTCTGTAAACAGTTGTTGAAATCCATTCCAACCTTCCTTACATTCTACCCAGAGCCAAAGCTTCTTTCTGAGGAGAAATGCATGTGGGTACCTCCCTCCCCCAAGCTGCCCAGCAGCCTGGCGCACCTTGTCCACGCACCACAAAACATTAGCCCTTCTCTCCTCTGGGAGAGCTACCCTCCAGCTGAGTAGGTTTGTCCCTAAAACGTCTGGCTCCAAATCCTTCTTAAAAAACCCCACAGATCTCCAGATTGTTACATTAAAGACACTGGAGTCTCGGATCTCTTAAAGCAGCAGTCTCTATGTTACAACTACACAGTAAATGTGCTTCTTTTGGGGGTGACGGATGGATGGTGAAGCTCCTGTTTTGTTTTGACAATCTGTTTGTACTTGCTGGTGCAGCTCCTTCTTAAAACAAAAGGTTTGTAGATGCATTCTCTCTACTGACCGCTCTCTAACCTGCCTAATGCTTCTCCTTACTGAAAACCAACTAAATTCCAAGGAGATATTGATTTGCAAACATTGTAAAGGGCTGATTACCATTGGCTTTTCAACCAGGGGAGAAAAGATCCTGCCTCTATTGATAGAATGGAGGGAGTCAGGGGCCACAGCCCTTTACCCAGGCACCAATTAAAAGCAAAATTCCACCTAAGTAATCCCACATTTTCAAAGGGTAATTATCCTAAAACCTGAATTATTTTATAAAGGATAAAATACCAAAAGGCTTGCAAGTGATATCTAAGCCTTTCAAATTCATTCAATGCCCTTAATTTTAGCATCTCTATTATAGGAGGGAACACAACCAAGGGAACAGAAAATGTTTTACTCTGGGGATACAGCAGGATTAAAATCTTTAGACGCTAACATATCCACAAAGACGCATCTGTGCGTTTACCTCCTCAGGGTGTATTATGAACAATTAAACTTCCTATATTAGAGTCCACTGATTGCTGCCACCCTCCCTTCCTGAAAATGACCTCATGAGAAAAAGACGGAGAAAACAGCTCTCACTTGGGGAAATGTCATTCCACAAATCATCATTATTATGTAGACTGCTGTCCCTAGTTAATTGCCTACTCATTTGAATATTGGCATTCTGAAGAGTGCTGTTGGCACATTAATAAGGGGTCAGAAAGCTATTATAGCAGAATGAGGTTTTATTTTTTAAGATTGTAATTTTCCCATAGGAGAAAAAGATCTTTCTCTTGGAGATTCTAGGGGACTTCTCAAATTCCCTGATGAGATCCAGCACATGATACCTCAGAAGTTCCTCTGAGGGAGGAGAGGAGGCCAGAAGGAAGAGCTCAGTTACATAACCAGTTACCTAAAACTAAATATTCCACCCCAAGAAGCTGTCCAGATGTTGCAGAAAAGAGATGAGGAAGAGGCTGTTGTGAGCCGGATCTGCTTGCCTTGAGCCGTGGGAACAGTAGTGGGTGGGGGACAACTCTGAAGGGATTTATTGTCAGAGTATTGACGTCTCTCTGTGCTCCCAGCAGTGAACTCTATTAATTTTCTGAGGTCCATAAGCCAGTCTGCCTACCAGTATATGACTTTTAATTTTCATGCAGTGAAATGAGTTCATTTTGTCATGATAGACTAGGAACTTTTATGACTGTTTTAGTGACTTTGGGCCCCACAGAGACAAATTCCTAGGCTTAAGAGACTTGAAACTCCTGTGGCAGCTCCCTTGCGAAATCTTCTCATTCCGGTAGGACAAAGGGAAAAGCTCTTGCCAGGAAAGCCCTCAGCTATTACTTTGAGTCCCCACATTTAGTTTCTAGGGGTCAGAACTCCGTTGGCTTCCAGCCAGGAGGGTTTAAAATGAACAACGTTGGAATGTTACCCACAGAGTGTGTATGGGATTGCGCGGGGGGTGCAGCAGGAGAAGGCGGCGTTCTCCCAAATTGTTTTATCACCTATCAGTTACTGCAACAGCGCTTCCCTTCCCTAATCCATCTACCCCATCCCCTGGTCTCTATGTTCGGCACTCTGGTTAGTGGGTCAAGGTCCTGGGGTGGGAGGCACACATGTGGTGGGATCTGGGAGCTGGACCATTGCAGCGCGTGAGATGTTGCTGCAGCCAAGCGTATACCCTCTGACTGTCTTCCTCTGCTTTGCAGCCGGAGGAGGTGGCGGAGCAGCTAGTGGGCAGCTGGCGCCCCCCTGCACAAGCCTCCGCCCCAGGGGCTAGCCCCGCACTCCACCGGTTCGCCATGATCGCCACAGGCGGCCTGCTGAGGATTTCTGCCAGAAAGCAGGATCCTCTCCGACCCCCGAGCCAGGTCCCCAAGCGCAAGCGGAAAGCCAAGAAGAGGCGCAAGAACGACGTGGTGGTGGTGAAAGGCAAGCTCAAACTGTGCTCCGTCTCCGGGCTCATCGCTCTTTGCGGGATCCTGGTGCTGCTGGTGGGCATAGCCATGGCGGTGGTGGGTTACTGGCCCAAGGCCAACGGGGCCAATAGGGAGGGGGGTAAGCAGCTGCTCCCCGCGGGCAGCGGCCACCGCGGCCCGACCACGGCCAACAGCAGCAGCAATGGCAGCAAAAACCGGTCCAGGAGCCACCCGGGGACTCCGGGGGATGTGAACTCGAGCTTCATGGGCGCGCCCAGGAGCACGCCTCCAGCACGGTCCCCTGCCCCTTCTTCGTCCTCCTCCACGTCCGTGGGTTTCTTCTTTCGCATCTTCTCCGGCTACCTGCACTCTGACAAGCTCAAAGTCTTCGGGCCCCTCATCATGGGCATCGGCATCTTTCTCTTCATCTGCGCCAACGCGGTACTCCACGAGAACCGAGACAAGAAGACCAAGATCATCAACCTGCGGGACCTGTACTCCACCGTCATCGACGTGCACAGCCTCCGCGCCAAGGACTTGGCTGCCGCCGCGGCTGCAGCCGCCGCCGCCGCCGCAGCTTCGACCTCGGCCCCCGCCTCGGCGCCCCGCGGGGCGGCGCCGCTCAATGGCTTCCTCAGCTACGTGCAGTCCCGGGGCCTGGAGCTGAAGCCCGGGGTCTGTGGCGCCGGGGACGCCTTCGGGGCGGCGGCGATGCTGGCCAGGGGCTCGTGGCCCCAAGCCACGGCGCGGGGCGCGGGCGTGGGCGGCGGCCCGGCCAGGGGCGCTGCGTCCCCGCCTGACCTGGCCTCGTCCCCGCGCTGCCCGCGGGACCCCCCGAGCATGGCGGAGGCCGTGTACAGCATCTACCGCGAGCGCTCGGGCGTGGCCGGCCGTCGCCGGGCCGTCGCGGTGGCCGCCGCCACCGCGGCCGCCAGCAGCAGCAGCAGCCCGGCGCCCTGCAGCCCACCCGAGAGCTGGGGGCGCCAGAGCACCGCCAGCTCCCTCGTGGGCTCCTCGCTGAGCGCCTTCGCGCTGCTGCCCTTGCAAGGGGACCGCGACGGGGACGCGGAGGGTGCGAGCTGCAGTTGGCAGAGGCCGCTTGGGGAACGCGGCTCCCGGGAGATCCCGGGGGGCGAGGTCGACCTGACCTTGTCCGACCTCGGCGGCGCCCGGGACGGCGCGCGCTGGGCGCCCCTCGAGCAGGAGGAGCCCGAGGGCGCGGCGGCGGCGAGCCCCGCCAGGGGCCAGGGCGGCCGCCTGCCCAGGACCGGCAGGCGCGCGGCCCCGCGGCGCCGCAGCACCAGCAGGCTCCCGGACCACCGGGCGCCTCCGTCCCCCGAGCCCCCGCCGTCTCCGGGCAGCGCGGACCTGGACTCGAGCCTTCTGGACAAAGCTGCTTCCCCCTCGCCCCCGCTGCGGCTAGAGGACTCGGCCCCCGCCAGGCTGCGCTCGCCGAGCTCCCAGTCGGACGACCCATCCTGCCCCAATAAGGGCTACACGCCCCTGCCGGAGGCCGGCACCACCTTGGAGGAGGCTGTAGACGCAGTAGCCAATGAAAGTCAAGACTGTGAGGCCGCCAGCGCCCCGGGTGCGGAGAGGGGACTCCCGGAGGATCATCCCAGCCAAGAGCCGCCCACGGCCGAGCCACCCCAGCCGGTGCAGAGGCAGTTTACAAACAAGGAGAAGCTCTTCATGATTTCCCGGTCTCACGCCTTTGGGGTAGAGGACGGAGAACTGGAAAGTACAGGCATTTAGGGAAAGAGGCAGCGAGAGGCGAAAGGAGTGAGAAAATAGGAGAAACGCCCTCTTGAATCAGTGAATTTAGCAGTTTCCTCTTTCCTCGCGGACTCAGTGGAGGAAACCATCCCATACCCAAAGAGCTGCAGAATGTTATCCTTGAACGGCGTTCGCAAGATTCCTGTAGATAACTCCAGGCAACTTTTTTTAAAGAGCAAACTAGTCTTTTATGTCCGATGGTGATTGTATGTTCCATGAAAACCAAATGTATTAAAAGGTCAGCAATGTAGTTCATTAGATAAAATCTTAATTTTCTTAGGATCAAAAATAATATATTTTTGACAGTAAATGTGCAGTTTACTCTAATTTCTTTTTTTTTCTTGGATCCCTAATTTCCCTAACTCCTGTACTCTGCGGCTGGTTTTGTCCATAGCTGCTTGTAAATGACCAGCTTTTTTCCTCCTATGATTTTGCAGGACATAGAAGGGTTTGTCTCAGTTCTCTCAGACCTGCTATTACTAAGTGAAGTCAAAGCCAAAAGCCTGAGTATGTCAGGAGAGAGCACTTCCCTCGCCCACCCCACTCCGCTGTCCGGCTGTCCAAAGGCCTCTTTATTTCTTAAAAGGGTATTAACATTTTGCTACTAGGGCATCTAATGGAGAAGAGGGGCCAACATCGAGATGGACTATTTCCTTCCTAAATTCACCATACCAACTACACGACACTTTATGGAGTATTATCACACCTGTATTGAAAATAGCATTAATATTAAAAATCTTTTTTAATAAAAGAACTTTCCAAACAAACAGATAAACATAATATTGCCTCATTTTGCCTTGGAAGTAATGCTAACACACTCAAAACATTGAACAGTTCAGCTGGTAAATTGAAAATATTTTTGCTATGACACTGCTGCTGTGATTGTAATTCTCTTCCCCCAAACTCTCAGCATCGGCCTCAATCAATTTCCAGTATATTTTTAACTTTTAAATACAGGGTAGTATTGAACACTTGAGAGTTGCTCTTTCACATAGAATGAAACATTGACTAAATAGTTATTTTCTATAATACTTCCAGTTTACCTCACAGTTTTAACTTGCAGAGCTCCAGATTTAATATTCCGTTATCGCCCTCTTGGAGCTGACTATTTGAATTTTGACTTTAAGTTCATGATCTTGAATCTATGTCCTACATAGGCTAAAAGGTAATGTTTTAACAATTTACTGCATGGATTACACTTGATTTTATTAGGAGTCAATTAGTTAGTTTTCAAGAACAGTAGACAGCTAATTAATGTAACGTTCTGATGCCCTCGTCCTTTGAGTGTGAGCTGACACTCTTGGGAATGCTATTACTTTCTTTCCACCATTCGGGTACAAGCTCTCCATTTACACACAGCCAAGGCTATCATTGCAGGAGGTTAAAATACCGATTTTAAAGGAAAATCTAGTCAAAGATGTGGTCATATTGGTCCCCATGGGTGAAACAGTGTCCCCCAGAAAGTGTGCCTGGACCCAAGCTTTCAGCATTTGCCAGCTGTGTAGCCTTGAGGGAGTCTCAGTCATCAGATCTATAAAATGAGGGTAACCAGACAGACCTCGCAGAGCTATGAGTGGGTGAGACGAGGGCTTATATTGACAGAGCCAAGCAGAGTACTTGGCTCAGAGTTGTACTCAGTAAACAGTACTTATTGTAATTATTATCATTCTAATATGTTGTCTGAACATGCGCTGCAGAAGACTGGCCTGCACTCTGCCTGAGCACAGGAAAGCCTAGGCTGAAGGCTAGAATAGCCACTTACTGCCTGCGTGGCCTGAGGCAGATCCCGGACTCTGTCTGGGCCTCTGGTGGATGATCTACTCTCTCTGGTTGACTTAAGCTCTGAAAGCTGCACTTAAATTCAGGATGTTTGTTTTGTCCCAGATATAGTCATATCATATTTATACATACAAATTTGAAAAGTGAATATACTTCATAAACTACAAGTTAGGGTAACATTCTGTAATCAGTTTTTAAAGGGACCTAATTTATTCCCAGATTGAACTTGCAATAAGCTAATAACTCACTTGGAAGCTGTGGACTAATTTATTTGGCTCTTCTGTATAGCAAACGTGAGTTTCCACTAGTAAGAGTGACGAGCAGTTGTAATCATACTCCAGGTAGTGTTGAATTTCAACAGTCTCGATTGTTTTGTCACACTTACAGAAAAACTTCAGATTTCCCTGGTTTTTCTTCTGCATTATCTTAAATATTGGCAATTTATATACTGAGAGTTTGAGCAGTTGTTTAAAAAGAAAAATAGGTTCTAGTGCTCTAAAGTGCTGTTTCCAGTCCTCAGAAAATGCACTGAAAGACATTTAGCAAATAATGAAGCCACTGCCTCTTGATTTAACTAAAGAGGGGTGCGCAGAATCATATTTATCCCTTACAAACTGTGGAAAGTTCAGTCCAACCAATTGGCTAAGCTTAACAATACTGATTGCCTCGTAATTAATCAGATTAAATAAAATCTTCTAGCTCATATTGATCTTGTGGACACAGGCCCGCTGAAATTAAGTAACTTCAGCAAACTCATTTAGCTCAGTATCAAGTTGTGGCTGTCTTAACCATCAAGAATTTAACCAGATATTTTCCCCTGAAGATAAAAAAGAATGAGCCCAATTTTCCAAATCATGGGAGGAGCTGGGATGAGACCTCAGAAAGAATCCCCTGCAGTTATGACCATGGTGATTCAGTCTTCCCTTTCCTAGGAGCAGAGATCTTCTGCAATAATAATGCTGCATTTTTCTCACTACTTACTGTGGGCCGAGTTCTGTTCCACATGCTTTATGCATATTCTCTCAATTCCTCCTCCAGCAACTCTGCTAAAGTAGGAGGATGATCATCCCCATTTTACAGAGAAAGACACTGAGGTCAGAATGGTGGAGTACTTGCCCAGGTTACACAGCCGATAAATGGTGGAGCCAGGATTTACACAGTGTTAAGGATTATCTGGACCTGTTGGCAGATGCTGAGCTGAAACTGGCATTTCTGGCGACCATCGAAATATTTTCTACATTTTTAGCTTCCTGCTAGATCCTTTTCTGGAAACCATTCTTGGAGATCAGCAGAGAAGTGTTAAGATGTGTGGCCAGTTTAAAAGCAGCCTTTTAGTCTTCAGATTGGCATAAATGAGGTTTTTTTTCTATGTGACTTTGCAGGGTTTGCTATACAAAATCAATAGGACTACTTAAAGCAGCCTTAGAGATCATAGAATCTCCCCCTTTATTTATAAATGAGGTTGCTAAGAATTAGAAAGATGGACTATTTGTTTGAAGGCAGACAGCAGTGGCAGGACTAGAGTGTTAAAATAATTACAATAATTGGCATATACATTGCTCACCAGCCCGGAATTTCTATCCTAGCTGGCTGACCATGGGCAAGCTACTCAACCTCTCTGCATCTCAATTTCCTTTCCCATAAAATGGGAGTAGCCAGCCCTAGTAGTCTAGTGGTTAAGATTTGATCTTGCTGCCGAGGCCCTGGTTCCTTTCCTCCTCAAGGAACTATACCACCCGTCTTTCGGTTGTCAACCCTGGCAGCTGGGTGTTACTGTGATATTGGAAGCTACGCCACCGGTATGTCAAATACCAGGAGGGTCACATATGGCGGACAGGTTTCATTGGAGCTGGACAGTCTAGGGAGAAGTTGCTGGCCACCCACTTCTGAAAATACTGGCCATGAAATCCCTGTGAACAGCAGCGGAGCTTTGTCTGATTCGGCGCCAGAAGGTGAGAGAATGGCACAGAAATACCGGGCAGGGTTCTGCTCTGCTGGACACAGGGTCACTAGGAGTCAGAGATGACTTGAGGGGCCGGCCCCATGGCTGAGTGGTTAAGTCCGTGTGCTCCCCTTCAGTGGCCCAGGGTTTCGCGGGTTCAAATCCTGGGTGCGGACGTGGCACCGCTCATCAGGCCATGCTGAGGTGGTGTCCCACATGCCACAACTAGAAAGACCTACAACTAAAATATACAACTATGTACTGGGGGGATTTGGGGAGAAAAAGCGAAAAAAAGAAAAGAATTGACTCGAGGGCACTAACAACAACGACAATGGTAATAAATAATGGTACCTACCTCACAGGACTGGAGCCAAGATTAAATGAATTAATACATGTGTATGGTGGTTACAACAGGCCTGGCACGTAGAGTGTGTTATAAAAGGTTTTTTAGTTTTATTTAAAAGAATCAACTACTAAACAGAATCATTTCATATGGTTTTCCTTTTTATTAGCAGCATAATGTTAGGTTTAAAAATTTAAAGTATAAAGCAGCATAGCATAGTGGCTCAGAGTGTGACTTGGAGGGGTTACGTAACAGTGTACCTGTGTTTCCACGTCTGTTAAATAGAGATAATAAATAGCATCTGACTCATGGAATTCGTTATTTAAACTAAATAAACTAATATACTTAAAGAACTGAGAACAACTCCTGGCACAAATAAACCTTCAGTAAATGTTAACTACTATTATTAAGGCAAAAATACAGAAAAGTAATTGCTAGGCTAAATTTACTATTCACTTGTTAAGGGCAACCATAACCTTACTGTATTGAAAATTCTTTATAATTTAGGTATATTAGAAAGAAAAAGTAGACCTTAAAAAATGAGGGCTCAGGCCACTTCAATGCCCCGATAGAGCAGAGAGCCAATGAGAGCAAGACCTGTGCTCCTTGTGGCCCCGTCATGACATTTCACAACAAGGTGTGAACACTCACACTGGCTGACGTGCCTGTGTTTGGCCATGATGACTCCATTTCCATTTCTGGAGGCTGGTCACACCGGAAAGGCCAAGCCAGCCCTGTGGGCTCAGCCCCTCTCTGGCAGTGGAGCAGGCTGGAAGGGAGGCTCGGTGAAGAGCTCTAGTGAGGAGGAGTGTTGATTTATTTAAATTGTCTTGACAAAAGTTTTTTCTATACTAGTTTCCCTTTAGCCATTTCCAGTTCTTTTTAAATAGGCAGTTTTGAAAAATTTTTTGTAAGAGAACTTAAAAATAATCCTCCAACAACGTAAAATTAGAACAAACTAGGTATATGACTTTGCGTTTTGATCAGAATAATGTTTTTGCCAAGATATAAAAATACATTTTACAGCCAAATAAAGAATAGGATTGATATTTTTGGAGCTTGTTTTCTATAGACTCAATTTATTTATTTATTTATTGGCTAAAAATCATTGAGTGAATATTTAGGCTAAGTTTTTGAATGACTAACTCTGAAAAGCGTTCTAAGACCTTTTTTGTTCTTTCTAGGAAAATCATCTTTGAGGATTTTTTCTTCAAAAAGAAATGCATTTCTTTAAATGGATGTGAAA